TAACTTCATCATAGGGTACCGATTAAGGGCGTTGTAGGGGTGCTTAATACCTTCCCTACACGTAACCGACCCCCAAACCCAATTCTGGTTATTAAGGCCATTATTGGACATTTGAAAACCTTTCTTTTTCCAATGTTTTGAGTAAAACATTGGTGGCGACTCCATGAACCTATTTTCAAAATCATTAATTAAGGATTAGTCTGGTGTCCGGACATTCCTTAATTGATGAGATTTTCAAAAGGATGTCTAAACCATTAGTCGCGAGATCGGAAAGTTTCGGGTTGCGAAAATTGGAAGATAACCAGTCCATACCTAAAATCACATCTAATTGTGATAAAGGTAAGTAGATCAAATTTACAAGAAATTTTCTATTAATAATAAAAATAGGACAATCTAAACACTTTATTGGCAATTACAGATTTATTTGTAGGGGTTGAAACAATTAGATTATTCTTTAAAGAAGAAACTAGTAATTGAAGGTGTTGAACGCAATCATTGGAGATAAAAGATTGAGTTGCGCCTGAATCACACAGTACATTTAAAGTTTTACCTTTAATGAAACATTTACCTTGTATTAGATCATTGTTTTAAGAAGCTTCAGTTCCGGTCATGGTATAAACTCTCCCAGTCGTAGGAGGTCTCGGTTTGGGTCCAGAAGTATTCACATGTGCCTTTGGTTGTGCACACTCAGAAAACACATGACCAGGCTTTCCACACTTGAAACAAACAGGTCCTTTGAGATCACAGTCCTTAGTATAATGACCTTGTCCACACTTAAGACACTTAGCTTGATTATTCATGGGTTTACTAGAATTTCCTACAAATTGAGAAGATTGGGGTTTCCATTGTGGACGATCATAAGGTTTTCCTTCATTATTCCTTTTCTTATTAAACTGAGGGCCAAAAGATTTTGGTCTATTATCCTTATTATGATCAAAACCTTCCAAAAATCGACACTTGTGTATTAATGTGGGAAAATCAGATATTTCTAATATCCCTACAGCTTTTCTTAATTCTGGTCTAAGTCCATCCTCAAATTTAATACACTTCATCCTCTCATTCTGGTGATAAAAGAAAGTAGAATATTTTTCCAATTCCTCAAACTTAGAAGCATACTCTCCTACAGTCATATTACCCTGTTTTAATTGCATAAATTCTATTTCTTTAGCCCTCCTAACATCATTAGGAAAATATTTTTCAAAAAAGTTCGCTCTAAACACTTCCCATGTAATAGTTATTCCTCCTCCTTCTAATAACCTTCTAGTTCTATCCCACCAATATTCTGCTTCTCCTACTAACATAAACACTACATAATTTACTTTTTTGTTATCAGGACAGATCATGGCTCGGAATATCTTTTCTATTTCTTTAATCCATAATTCAGCTTTTTCAGGATTATACCCTCCGTCAAAATGGGAAGGTTTGTTTCTCCTAAATTCAACCAATCCTTGTGACACGAAATTTTTTATAGGTTAGTTTATCATACTAGAAACCTGGTTAGCACATTATCCCAAGTTACACATGGAACCAGGCTCTGATACCATTAAAATGAAACACCTGATTTTGTATAATATTATATATAATATTTTTTTATATAGATTATTAATACAAGTATATATACATATTATTAATATTATTATGCATAACACGAAGGATAGTTTTGTAAACTTGCTTACACATAACTAATTGATAGTTACATTACAAACTATTCAAAACTAAGTACAATAACGTACTTATCACTACAAGAAAAATGCTGATTTCCGACGGAAATTTCCGACGAAAATAGGTAAATTTCTGACGGATTTTTCTTTTTCCGACGGATTTCCGACGGATTTCAATTCGTCGGAAAAAAAATCCGTCGAAAATAATTTTCCGACAGAATTTTCCGACAGAAAATTCTGTCAAAAATTTCTGACAGAAAAATCCGTCAGAAATTTCTGACGAAAAAATTATGATCAATATAGGGGCCTGCATGAATTGGCTAACAATCCCTACTGCAAAAGAAAGATCAGGTCTTGTAATTGTAAGATAAATAAGCTTCCCAACCAATCTTCTACACCTCTCTGGGTCTGTAAATAATTCACCTTGATCAGCCATCAACTTTTGGTTAGGATCTATAGGACTATCAATGGGCTTGCAATCCAACATGCCAGTTTCCTTCAAGATATCAATAGTATATTTCCTGTGAAATCACAATGCCTTCCTTTGATTGAGCAACCTCAATACCCAGAAAGTATTTCAAATGTCCAGGTCTTTAGTCTGAAAATGGCTAAACAAGTGTTTCTTCAACTGAGAGATTGTAATTGCATCATTTCCTGTAATCACTATGTCATCAACATAAACAATCAAATAAACACAACTCCCAGGCGAAGTGTGACAATAGAATACTGAGTGGTCTGCTTCACTTCTTTTCAACCCAAAATTCTGCACCACATGACTAAATTTTCCAAACCAAGCCCAAGGAGATTGTTTGAGACCATAAATGGATCTTTGCAATTTGCAAACTAAACCAGACTCCCCCTGAGCAACAAACCCAGGAGGTTGCTTCATGTAAATCTCCTCCTCCAACTCCCCATGAAGAAACACATTTTTAATATCTAATTGGCGGAGAGGCCAATGTCGAATGGCTGCC